AGCACTTGTGGCTAACCTGTCAACACCTGTACATGGAAGGCTTTTTTCTTTCAGAGCGCAGCGGGGAGTGGGACGAGATTTGGGTGGCCGGTCTAGTACCGGATTCTGGAGAGCTCATTGCACGCAGCACCAACGAGGACGGTTCTGACTGGATCTGGTCGTTGATTCGTTGTGAAGCGGGCTCATTGCGCCCACCAGTGGGGACAGGAGCACAGCGGGCAGCACCTCCGGGTATTGCTCCAGCAACAGTCAACTGGATATGTTCGCCAGAACATGTGGATCAGCGTTGGGCTCCAACAGTGGCAGAGGCAGCAGCGTTGAAGCAAGAGGCGGCAGTTTTGGGCTTGCATGTGAAGAGAATTGGGGTCCAAGACGGTCAGGTCACAATCCCAGGAAGGGGCATGAGTTTGATTCCATTCACCGCCGCTCCCATCGCAGGCGGGGCTTCGGCAGCGGCGCCGCGAGGGGCTGTCGGGGCGCTCGGGCCGGTGCCGGCCCCAGAGGCAGATGGAGGAGCTTTCAACTTGCAAAGCCTATCGGATGTCATCCAGGAGCTCAAGGACATGGCCAGGAAGAAAGAAGGTCAGAGCAAAGAGAAGTCCAAGAAGAAGAAACGATCCAGAAAGAAGTCCAAGGACAAGAAGAAGAAAAAGAAGAGGAAAGACAGTTCCAGCGGCTCGTCCACGAGTCGATCACGAAGCAGTGCATCCAGCCGCAGCTCAAGTCAGAGCTCTTCGGGGCCCTTGCTGTGGAAGCCCAAAGGCAAGGACCGCGAGGTCAGTTACAAGAAGGTGCATGCAGTGGACTCGGAGAAGTTCAAGCGCAAGGGAGAGTTGCTGGCGTACGCAAGCCGCCATCCGGGGGCCCTGTCAGGACATTTTCTGGCATCGATCTACGCTCGTCTTTCGAAAGGAAAGGTGGAACGTAGCAGTCAGCTGCGGGAGGCCAGTGTGGTCTCATGGGCCGCTCAACACAGCGGTCTGACAGAAGTGAGAGATGTGAGGGAGGTCTTGACCCTAGCCGAGGCCATGGATGCAGTCAATCGAAAGGAAATTGCCAGAGCAATGGACATCCTTGCACAGCGCATCCTGGCAATCCAGCAGGCGAAGAGGAAAGGAGGGTCTTGGGAAAAAGCCGAATCGATCGAACTGATTCCCAGTGGAACCAGCCTGGCCTCATCGTCGATGCTGGCTCTCACCAATTGAGTCGCCGGTTCAGGAAAGCGCTGCACCGCTGGAGAAGTCACAATGGTGAGCCATCTTCGGGGTTGCAGTATTTTTGCATGATCTTTTCTGGGTTGGAGCAGGTCTTTGCGCATCACAACACATTGTTGAGCTATGGGGTTCATTTGTGGAGGATTGGCAAGGGCCAGGGACAGCTTCGGAGGAGACACGAATTCAATAGAGTTTTTCTGACACAGTCAGGTGATGGATGCAGTATGCCGCATGTCTTTCCTTTGCCCCCTTTTGTTCAGAATGGTCGGGTGATGGAGGGCAGAATGGGCACCCTGGATTCGGATGAAGAGTTCGGTGTTGCTCATGGCGTGAATCTCATTCAGGCCGCCTTGAATATGCTGCATGGGAGCTTGGACGTTGAATTCAAGTTTGTCTCAGCTGCCCACTCACGCATCCAGGCCCGGTTGGGGTCAGGGCTCAAAGACATGATGATGGATTTTGAGCTCATGAGTCTTGATGAGATTCGTCGGTTTTTGAAGCACAACCAGCACTATACTGGAGGGGGAATAGCCATTCCACTAGGTAGTCGGGGGGGAGTGCCAACCTCGGCTGCAACAGTCAATTTATCTGAGGAGCTTGAAAAGGACTTTCCGCTATATGCTGAACAGGTCCGGGAGCCGAAGCTGCTTCTTCTTCCATCGAGGCTGAGGCCTATCCGGATCAAGCGCGGGCACACTTGGGTGAATTCTTCTTATCCTGATTTAGTCCGTAAGAATGTTAAAGCTGGATTGCATGTCTTGAAGAAGGAGAAACAGGTAGCTAAGCACAGAGGTAGCCTATGCCTAGCTGGAGCATTTGCCGTGCCTAAGGACGAGACAGAGGACAGGGTAATTACTGATCCTAGTGTGAATCAGCTGTTGGACCCACAGAAGCTTCCCCGGCCCCGTTTTGCCTATATCCCGAAGCTGCGGGTAACCCTGGTACCTCGCACAGGGAGGCTGCTGGTGTCGAAGAGAGACGCTCGCCACTATTTTCACTCGTTGAGGATTGGGCGCAAGTGGCAACGATGGCTATGTGGGCCACCTATAGCGGACTTCGGCAGGGGTCTGAGGTATCCGGCTTCATGCACAGCACCTATGGGGTTTGGTCCTAGCGCAGGTTGGGCACAGGCATTGACAGACGTCGCAACTAACCAGGCTGACCTACCTAGTGACTGTAGACTACATCCAGATGCGTTTGCACCCACGTCATTGCCTATTTGGGGATCCATATGCGATGATATTTGGGCGCTTGAGCATACTGAGGCGGAGACGAAGGCGGCCTTTTGCGGACCTACTTGGCTCTCGCGGGCGGAGCAGGCTTGGGTAGATCGTGGAGTACACCCAAACCATAAGAAGGCAATTGATGCGAGTCCAGGGGAAGAGTTACAGGGTTACTATGTTGATCCAGATTTGCATTGGGTTGGGGTTAATTTGACGAAACGTAGGGCTCTTTTCCAAGCAGTTTGGCATGTGCTGACTTCACCATCGGTCGTTGTTGGCGACATTGAACGACTGGTTGGAAAGTTTGGGTTCGTGCACTCGAGCCGACCGGTGATGCGTTCAATCTTTGTGGAGGTTTATGGCTGGCTTGATGATCTACGGGGTCGCAAGGTGCGTGTCACAACCTTGCCGGATGTCATTTGGTGTGAGTTGATGACAGCCGCATTGTTGTTGCCCTATGCGCAGTTCAACTTGTCAGCGCCGTTTAGCCAGAGAGTTGAATGCAGTGATGCCTCAATGTCAGGCATCGGGCGAGCATGGGCCACCATGCCAAGCGATCTAGTGCAGCGAATGGCTCAGCTCTGTGACCACCCAGGGACATACACGAATTTGAATCTCCCCTTTGGGTTAGCCTTGAACGAAGAAGACAAGTGTCCACTACGTAAGTTGAAACTGCCCCGCAACCTCTTCCATTGGCACACGGCGGGTGCACGCTGGAGGCCATTATACATTTTTTTTGGGAGAAGCTGACGCGGCAGTGTGGGTGGCAGAATGCAGGCTGAGGCGTGCGTGTGATGATGAACATCGTTTTGTACATCCACTTGATAGTGCTTCTTGTGTTGGGGCTTTTATGAAGGGGCGGTCTTCCAGTCGGCTTTTGAACCATCGGTGTCAGAAGCTGTGCGCAATCGGAATAGCAGGGGGCCATGAGACTTTTTATCCTTGGATTCCGTCAGGTGACAATCCGGCTGACAAGCCCTCTCGTCTCTTCGAAGGCGAGCGCAAGGGCCACTCAGAGTCGCCAGTTCAACCCGAGGCGTTTGAAGAAGTTTCCCTTGACCCTTTTGGACTCTCCCGGACATTACCATCATGGTCGGGCAACGAGCGTTTCTTTTTGCATTTGTGTTCAGGAACGCGACGAGATGATGACCTGGTGAGCTGGGTTGAGCGCCTTAGTCAGGAACACGGCCTGCACATCTACGGGTTGCGCGTTGATCCATTGTCTCCTATGAGTCAACGTGATCTTGGATTCACTTGCAATGACTTACTAGATGGGCATAGCATGTTACACATTTTACAGCTAGTACAGTCAGGACGTGTTGCAGGCCTCTTTGTTTCACCGCCTTGCTCTACTTTTTCAGCAGTGCGGCACAAACCTTTGCATAGACAGTCAGGTGCACAAGTCGGGCCACGGCCCCTGAGGGCCCGATCGAACCCTTGGTCTTGTCTTCCGAATCGGACTTCAAGAGAAAACCACTCAGTCGACATTGGCACGGCGTTAGCACTCATTTGCATCGGTATGTTGGGAGAGGCTAGAATTTTTGGGGCATGGGTTGGAGGCGAGCATCCGGCTGATCGTGGTTGCGAACCATACCCATCAATTTTTGCTCAACAGAAATCCAACAGCTGTGCAGCATTGTTCGTCTTTGCATTTATGTCATTGATCAATGCATGTTTGGAGCAAAAACAAGGAAGCCGACTGGTTTAGTGTTGCCTTATGGGAATGATGAGTTTGTACGTACGTGTAATCACACCCAAGGTCACACACAACTGTTTGGTTGGGATTCGGCGGGGCAATGTTTTAGAACCACAGCGGCTACAGCATATCCCTCCGGACTGAGCCAAGCGCTGGCCAGCTTGTTTGTTACACGTATTCTTGCTTCGAAGAGTCACGGGTATGAACAACCATATGCACCCATGCAGGTTCATTCTGATTCTTTTGGCAGGGATCCTTGGTTTAGCAAGCAGCGCACGGCTTGGACTTGGCCGGCACCGAGTCGAAGCTTTCTTGCTGAAGTCATTGCGCGATGCCACCAGAGAAAAATACCAACAAGCAATTCAGCTCCTCAATCGTGAGATCTTGCAGACGCAAACCGATTGGGCCTCTCTTACTGAGGCAGAGCAGGATTTGTTTTTAGCTGAGTGGCTAGTTGATGGTTATGAACAAGGCAGTGGGCGCACCGAATATGGCTATGTTCTGTCTGCTTTGGGCAGAATGAATCCTCGTGTCCGGTACAAAACTGCCTGGCGTGTGTTTGAAGTGTGGGGTAGCTTGCAACCACCACAGCAGGCACCGGCAGCCCCCCCAGAACTGCTTACAGCGATGATGGTGGCTGCATTTGCACTCAACCGCGCTCCGTTGGGCATTCTCATTTGCGTTTGTTTCTCAGGCTTGTTACGGGTTGGGGAGGCACTGCAATTGCGATGGTCTGACATTTTCTTTGCTGCCGGCAATGTCACACTTTGTTTGGGGCAAACCAAAGGCGGCATGGAACAAAAAGTCGTTATTAGCAATGGCACAGTGTTTGAATGGTTGGGTCGCTTTGGGGCACAACACGGGGCTTGTGCCACAGATACCAAAGTGTTTGATATGTCATACTCTTCTGTTTTGCGCTGGGTCAAGAAACTGGCCCTTTTGCTGGCTGGAGAAGAGATCAAACTGACCACCCATTCATTCAGAAGATCAGGGGCTAGTGAACTTTGCCGCCAAGGCGTGGCGATTGCTGACATTTGCCTTTTTGGTCGATTGTTATCAGACAGATCAGCCAGGGAATATATACGCAAAGGAGAGGTTGCCATTTTGCGTTCTCGTACAATGGTGTCGGAGTCTGTGCGCGCCAACTGGCACCGCTGGTGTCGCTTGGCACCTAAAGTCTGGCTGCTAAACAGTTTCTTTCACCAGGCCAATTTAGACCATGTGTCCCACTCACGTGTCACCGAAACCTCATTTCGACGGCTTGAAAATTTGTTATTTGAGCATT